ATTTGTTTAAACTAAAGGGTTAAATCGGGACATGTGATTGGATTGTGCTTTTGCTTTTAGATATAAGCAGTAGAATATAGCTTTACTCTGCTTAGGCTAGCGTCTTAACCAATTTTAAGAACTTTCTGCACAAACCCAATTATTTATATGCAACTAAATAATTTCACCGCAGAACTATTAATGGTATTATCCAGTATTTGGAGTTTTTCATCACTTAAGTTCGAAATTGAAAGGAATTTTGTTATTCTTTTCTTTAAAAATATAAATAGCCTTCGCTTTGAAGTCCCAACAACTACACTAGGGAAGGAGCTGCTAACAACAGACATAAATAATTAGCCCAGAAGTCACCGAAAGTCCCTTTACTCTCTCTCCTCCTTCCAACACTCCCAAAAGAAAAAGAAAAAACAATTGTTAAAAAAACAAATGCTAGATTAGAGTAATACAGATGTGTTTCAATTTAGCTGCTCACTTTCACTTGACATAACGATAAAGATAAAACGTTAGGAAAAATAAGTTTTTTAGCATATCTTTGGAATTGGAATATATGTGGTAACAGATCTAGACTTTTTGTCTGTTGAAAAGGACTAGTCCATCAACGGAAAAATTTGAACTGACAATAGTGAATAGCTAAAAAGGAAAGTATCGTAAAACTTACTATAGTACAAAAGATGTGTAGCATTTGAAATAGTTGTCGAGATGTAAAATAAGTAGAAATAAGCCTGTTTTTTTTTTTAAAAGATTTTCATACATCTAAAAAAATCATATACGTCTCTCTTAAATGTTTTAAATAGTTATATCATCAACTAGAGCAGATTACATATACGCCTTTTTGGTGTCCAAAATATTAAATATTTTAAAATAAATTTAATTTGTCAAGACGATAAAAGTAATATTTAAGATCGTAATAATTTTAGGGGTAAAGCAAACTAGCGAAGTTCCCAAAAAAGGAAGGAAGTGAATTGCAAAATACGACATATCACATGTCGCGATATGGGCGTGGCATATATTCTGGTCGGTGTACTTTGACATAATGGCTGTCGTAGCTGATGATGCAATCTCTAGATTTTTTGGTCTCTCGAAATCACGTTGCAATTACAAAACTAACCATGGTTGCTAGAACGCAAGCTAATTCAACAACTCCAAATCAAAAGGTCATTTTGGAACAACTTTGTTAAATAATTTGAGTACTGCTAGTATTTAACCTATTTACTTTTTAGCCGGTGCAAAAAAGAATGACTCTTTCCTTATTTGAAAACAATTTATCTTTATGCAATGATTTATAGCCACACAAAATATATGTGCCTTATTTTACGTCACAAATTTAAAAATATTCTCTCTTTTCTTAAACTTCGTTCCCAGTCAAATGAGTTCATATTTTTTTTTTTAACTCTCCCAAATTAGGAGGATCTGATTTTTTTTTAAAAAAGGAATGAATATATCTTTTTCCCTTCGCTTTCAGCATTAACTATGAAGCCCAAGAAGCCTATTTAAATAGGAGTTGTTCACCAATAATCTTCACCTTTATTATCGTCTGTTATATTCTCTCATTTTTGCCCTGAGGAGAGGGGTATTATCTAAAAAGAGCATTCAAAATTTTCAATGCTAAGTATGTACTGCAATTATAATCTTAATACTCCCTCCGTTCTAATTTATGTGAACCTGTTTGACTGGGCACGAAGTTTAAGAAGAAATGAAGACTTTTAAAATTTGTGATCCTAAACAAGTCAAAAAGGGGCAGAGTATTTGTGTGGTTATAAAAGCTTCTCATTAAGAGTAAAATTGTAAGTTTAACCTAAATTGTTTCCAAATTTAGGAAAGGTCATTCCAGATGGAGGGAGTATTTACCGAAAAAAATTTGTAATCTTACTAGTAACTGTTTGTGAACTTTAACTTGTACGATAATTCCTTATTTTGAACATATACTTTCTGCCTGATTTTATAGTATTTTTCTTTTCTCCGTTTTCAGAAGGAATGATCTCCTACATATGACCAGTCACAATTTAAATACAAGAAAATAACCACACAAGAATTCCCTATATTTATTTACTAATCTCTTGTGAAAAAAAGACCATATGTATATAATTAAAAGTCTTTTCTACAGACATAATACCGATCTCCCCTCTAGGAGGTCACCATATGATACCCAAAAATAAAGATCTAAATGGAAAATAAAGTTGATTCAATTACCTATAAATTTAGTGCAGAAAAGTACCAACTTCCCAGAGAATTTTCTTTACTATTTTTTTTTTTTCCTTCGTTAATTTTCTGGTTGGTAATTTTTTTTTTTTTTTT